TGTCATGAGTTTCAACATCAACAAGCGCAACTTTCTTCTGGCCAGTGTATAGCCCTCCCTTCAATAACAATGGAAGTAAAACATGGCCCAGGCCCTGGTTCCTGGGAAGTCCCTGAAAGAAGGTCCGCTGGTCCCCCCGAGGCAACGCTGAGGCACGACGCCGTTGGTGTTTCAACGCCCGGCATCTCCAAGCACTCAACGTGAGGTGAGACGTCGAGACGTGGGACGTGTGGGAGTCGGATTGAAAGTTGGTGACATGAGGAGAGCCATGTTATTCTTTATCAAATCTTCTTCAACGATGTTTTAAACAGTCTTAGATAGTTTGGAGATGTATATATGATTTTGTGGGTGGTCGATGGGGTGGGATGCTGTGAAATTGGACTGGGTGAGAGAACCCGAGCCAAACGGGGGTTTTGGAAAATCGGGCCTTGCGTTTGACTACTCTTTCAATCTCTTTCATACATATACTCCGATTGGAAAGTTGTTGGCGCAACTCAAAAAATAGCGGGAACAGCCGCGCCATGTACTGTATCTCCGTTTCTCGCTATTTGGCCGTCATAGATGACAGATGGCGCAACTGGTCTTTGGAGTGCAGAAAGTTAAAATTATGCGGGATGTTTGTGCGGATTCTAGTTTCCCTATTTCCCCCCCAAAAAAAACGTTTGGGGCTATAGATGGCCCAATGGCCAAGTTCTGTACATTTCTGATTCCTTTTGCTTTCCTTTTGAATCCTGTTATTTTCCTTTTGCTTTCCTTTTAATTTCCTTTTAATGTCCTTGCGATGTCGTTTTGATTTCCTTTTGTAGTAAGTTCCTTTCGATTTCTTTTTGATATCCTTTTGATTCCTGTTGATTTCCGTTTGATTCCTTATTATTTCCTCTTGAACTTATTCATGTCCTTTTGATTCCTTTTGATTTCCTGTTGATTCCTTTTGAATCCTATTAATTTAATGTCCTCTTGATTCCTGTTGATTTCCTCTTACGGAGGCCCAAAAGATGGCGCGGTCTTAATCTCCGCTATTTTCATTTATTTTCTGCAAAATAGGTCGCAGAATCATGGAGAATCTTCCTTTTTTAAGCCACGGGGCGCATAGATGGCGCAACACACCTGAATGCCCTGATACCGATACCTAAACCTGGCGCAATAAAAAAGAATCACCTCATCAACTGTCTCATCGGTGTGTATATATATATATATATAGGCTGGTGCTATCATTCTTCAAGGGGCGTCAACTACAATTTTCCCTTTGCAAGAGTTTCCCTGTGGTGATGCGGCTTTGCTACTGATGGAGTGTTTGAGGAGATGACTGATTCGCCCCCCCCTGCCAAGCTGTAGCTCCTAAATCCTCACACTCAACTGTTAATCTATAGCCCCACTCATCCCCCAAACAATATAGAGCCTTGCTTGGAAAAACGAACTGGAACCAAAATTGTAGATACATATAGTATGTTCATTCGGTTCGATTCGCATTTCCTGTGAATACCTTCAAAGAGGTGTCCACCAACACACCACCCTCCTCGCTTGCCGCATCTTGCCGCAGGTCAGACTGGACCTCCTCCGAGGTGCAGCGCTTGCAGCGTGCCGGGAGCGCTCAGCGCTCCACCGACGAAACGGAGAACCGGTGGATCGCCCTCTTGGTGCACGGTTGTAAGAAGTGGTAGACTCGGTAGGTTCGTGATGAATAATGATGAATATATGTACAAAAAATTTTGTCACACACACCCCTGTGTGAATTGTAAAACCGGTGAACTTCAGGCTTTGGGGGTTGAAGTATCATCAAGAGTCATCAGGTACCGAGGTTCTCAGGTACCGAGGGCTTGGTTTTTGGGTTTGAGGAGCGACCGAAGACGAGCTCCAGGGCGGTCCTGGATTGTGTTGGACGACCGTGCACGACGTGGCAACCAGTGGTTTAGAAGATTGAACTAGATTGAACAAGAAGTAGTGCCCCTGGTTCCATGTATGATGGCTGCTTGAGATCCACTGAAGCAGTTTATATATTCATTCCTGCGTTGTTTTTAAGTCGTGTTCATACTGCTTTGTACGTTCCTGCATCCGTTGAAACATCTCCCACACCTGCTGGTTCGGGTGAGACTTTCGGGAGGGGCTAATCGACTTCGACGTGAGACCCCCCCGAGGTCTGCTCGCGCTGGTGCTTGAAAGCCATATTGGTCCGATGGTGCCGTGTGTTTCTCTCTAACCCGCCACCTGGGTTTCTTCGGGCGTTCAAGACAGCCGAAGCCCTGGCCTGATGAGGTTGATGGTTGATTTGTGGAAACCTCACGGGGGAACGTGTTGTGTTTTTTCCTTCAGGCATTCCCTAAATCAGCATTGAGATCTGAGAAGATCCGAGAGCACTCGCATTCACTCGCTGTTGATTTTGAGAAGCCTTCTAAGCCGCCAATATATGTTTAGAATATGTTTAGACTTGATGTTCCATCCAAAGTCTAAACAATTGAGCAGAGGATTATCCTTTCCGTCTTGCTGTTGTTGTTGTTGTTGCTGCCTGATCCTTCCTCCTTGACCGTTGATGTTCCATTTCGTGACAGATCCTTTTTGGGCAGAACGAGGCCATCCATGCAGAGCTTTTGGAGAACAAGTTCCAGGAGCCCAGTTGACTTGGCGAGTGACCGGTGCCAAGTCCATGCGCCAGGAGTTGCACGGGCTTTATCAACAACACCAAAAGCCGAATGAACAGCTGTGTCGATACATTGTTCATTGAGTTGACCATATTTTACATTATTTTACGCCAATCCAGCAACCAAGAACATGGCCATCCAGTTGATTGCCGTTGGC